TTTTTTTTTTTTTTTTGCAGTATAGGCTATGGCATACAAAACTATTATTCTTGCAGCATAAAGAATGCTGTGCTTTTTGAATGAAGTCAGCCTGAGGGTTACCCCATCAGTGTGTCTGTGGTGGGGGAGAGAGAGGGGGTTTAGAACCCAATTAGGTTAATAAGTTGTCCAAATTGTTCCATGCAGCAAGAAATCCTTGCCTGCTTTTTTTTTTTTTTTTTTTTTTTTTGTAACTCGTTAGCTATAGAAAAGGCTACTGACAAGGAGCTATCTGTGTAATCTTTACTGCCCGAGAAATACACAGTAGCACTGTCAGGAAAATGTTGGCCATCTTTTTCTGTTATGAAATACCATCAAACGTCTGGGTGCTGGAGAATGCTATCAGAACTGACAACTCTGGGCTCAGTGTCTGGGTGTTAATTCTGCATAAGGAAGTTTGACATGGGAACACGAGTCTTGCAAAAGAAAGCACCGATCTCCCATTGAAGTTACCATTGATTATTCCTTGGGGGGGGGGGCGGGGGGGCTGCTTTGGTTTTTGCTGCAGTTGTCTCGAACTAATGTGCCTTCAGGTATTTGATAAAGTAGTACAAGGGACTCTTTCTACTCAGTGGATCAGAGTGTGATTGGCTGGTTTGAGTGTAGCTCAAGGAATGCAGTAATTTGATGCAGTAAAAAATCATCTAGCAAGGGACATCCCAGAAAACTTAGACGACCTCCTCCCACCTCGCCTCACCTCAAAATTGTAAGAACAAACACGAGTGTATGAGTGAATCATTGCAGACGTAGTTGTTCAGAAAAGCCTTCTCCAATAGATGGAAATGTTAAAATACCTCGATGGCGGTCTCAGAACTAGGAATGAAGAATTTTTATCCTCCGGGTTCAGTTTATTCCAGTGTACATATGCATTGCATTGTAATGTGAGACGTTGGATTACCTAAATGTGAAGTGCTTGTGCTGGTTAGACCTTTCATGTGCTTTTTTTTTTTCATTTGAGAAGGAATATGAAACACATTGCTCTTCCCCCATGTTCCTTTCCAGTGGTAGCAATGCACCACCAATGCCTTTTGCTCCCCAGCACACTAACACAATGGACCAAGGGATAAGAAGAAGGTTAAGGGAAGCAGACAAGGAGGCTGTAGAAGTCATGCTCCAGGGTACCTTCAGGGTTCCTGTATTGAGTATTTGATGAAGTCAAGAGCAAAAATGGAGGAATTGGGCCTTTACGAGCACTGCGTGAAATGCTTAGTCACAGACCCAACGGATGTGCGTGGACTAGGATGGTAATGCTCTTGTCCACTGAAAAATTTGGGACAGATCTTCCAAAAGTCACCTATCATTGCAAGCAAGGTCAGCCGGCTCCATGTGTCAAAGGATGATCAAAATAATGTCAGTGACAGGTTTGCTACACATTTCTACTACATTTCTCTGGCTGAGGTGAACTCCTGGCTAGACGCTATTGTGATATGCCCAACTCCTCCTCTGCCACCTCCTCCTGGCATAATTAGGAGAGGTATTATGCAGAGGGTGCGGCCCAGCTTCAGCCTGCCATTTCTCCATTGGCACATAGTCTATTAAGGCTCCTAGTCTCGTGCGTAAATAGAGGAGACTACAGCAGATTGGTATAACGGTGGCCCAAAGACTGCTTTTCAGACTTAGAGAGCCAGAATCAGCTCCCCAGCCACCCTCCATCCCACTATTGCAAACAGAAGTCTGTTGCAGTAAAGAATTTGTCCTTGTATCTCTAAAGTGCTTTTATAAAAAGAAGGCAATTCATTCTAAGTTTGTGAAAGTGCAATATATATTGCTGCAGCATTGAGGCAAAAGGTTGGCTAAATCCAAGAAGGATGGAATGTGGGTTAGAAAAAATAAAGTTGGGTGAATATGTGGCTGGTTGTGTGACTGTAAGCTTGGGTCTCATATATTTCCTAAACTTTAAAAAATTGTACCTTTTATTGTAATAAGACTGGAAATCCACTTTCAGCATAATTGTTCTGCAAATGGCTTAATTTCCACTGTCTAAGCTGTTATCACAGCCAAACTGTTAAGTTTACACATTTTCTAAAGTTTCAGACCCTCTAGCAAATCTCTATAAATTAGCAGATTTAAATTAGCTTTATTAAAATGGAGCTATTATGAGACATTTTAAGAAGCACAAATTCCTTTTATATGTATTTAAAGGAGACTGATTAAATCAGTGCAAAGTAGGTCACCATAAATAAAGATTTAGAAAAGTTCAGCTGAGAAAGTACATGTAGAACCAGCACAGAAGTGGAAATCGGTGGGATTCCAGTGCAATGATTCCCAAACTGTTGAAGCTGCCAAAAGCAAAAAAAAATGGTCTGTTGGTAATATATTTTACTTTATATATTTAGTTATAGGCTTCACTCTAACATTATTTATTCCATTTTAGTTCCAGTATCTCTGCATACCCATTAATTCCATGCATTATGTATTAT